TAGAAGCCATGGGCCGTCCGACGTACACTCGCGCTGGCGAGGCCAGAGTCCCACGCCTGTCGTTCGGGAATTGCTTGAAGCGAGCGCGAGGGTTGATGTGGGTACATACATGCACGACAGGCCGGGCGCCGACGCGCTGGCGGAAAGCGACATCGCAGCGATCCGTGCATCGTGCTGCGTCAACGACGGTGCTGCACGCGGCCTGTCGCCAGCTGTCCGACGCGTGGTCGGTTGTCGAAGGTGGGTGGCGCCATAAATATGCATTTTCACCCGTGAGCTCGAGTTTGCCCTTTCCCAACTTCAACGGGTCCTGGCTCTCGCAGTGATACACACGCGTGCTGTCGGATGGAGGCGACCGCCGCCCATAGCATCCGCGCGGTCTCGCAGGTGACGGTGCCGCCGCTGCACCCGGCAGCGTACGTCGCTCTCTCGCTCTCGGTGCTCGCCATCTACCTCTGGCTCGTCCACGCCTTCGAGTCGTCCGTGCATCTCCACCAGAAGAAGGACCGCGCGTCGCTCATCGCGCGGCAGTTCTACCTCGAGCAGCGCAAGCGCCGGTCGCAGCATCCGCCACGCCTCGACGCCATCCCCGAAGAACGTCTCTCCAACACCACGTCAGCTGACGTCTAGGGTGCAAGTCTAGTAATATTTAGCGCTTTATTTTGAGGCCGTCGGCTTGGGCTGCACCTCGAGCACATAGCCCTTCTGGAGGTCGGCGAGGCGGTACGGACCATACTCGACGCGGATGAGACGCTTGACGATGAGTCGCACGTGGGCGAGCGCCTTGCGTACTTCGCGGTTCTATCATCAAGCGAAGCGCATTGTATGTTGTCGAGGGACTGAATGATCGTCGAATTACCTTGCCTTCGCTGAGCTTGACCTTGAGCCACGAGTCCTTGTCCTTGGTCGACTCGATCGTCACTTGGATCGGGCGGTACTTGACGCCGTCGACGACTGCGCCCTTCTGCAGCTCGGCGATCTTGGACGGAAGCACCTGACCATAAGGCGAGAGGGTTAGTCTGCTGAAGTTATTGCGTCAACGAGTGGAGTGTACCTGGCCACGCACGAGCACGCGGTATGTGCGCTGCACTTCAAACTGCGGGTGCTCGAGCTCGCGGGCGTAGGCGCCGTCGTTCGTCAAGAGCAAAAGGCCTTCCGTGTTGAAGTCGAGGCGACCCTAGTCACGAAAGTCCATGCATTTGGTCGCAAAAGGCACGCAAGGAAGACGTACGACAGCCATAATGTGATGCTGCATGCCCATCTTCTTGAGCCGGTCCATGATGGTCGGGCGGCCTTGCGGGTCGTTGGTCGTCACAAGCTCCTGCGTTGGTGTGTGAGATCCCAGATCGTATTTGCTCAAGCTACGTACGCCCATGAGCTTGTGCGCGATCCAGACGCGGCGCTTGTCCTTGAACGTCACCGGCTTGTCGTCGACCGTGATCAAGTCGTCCATGGTAACGTTGTGGGCGACGTTGTCGATCTAGCGGAGCGTGAAGTGGTGGCCATAGACTACGCGAAGTTACAAGAATGCCATTGACGGTGACACGGCCGTCTTGAATGATCTTTTCGGCTTCGCGGCGCGAGCTCACGCCACTGAGCGCGAGCCGCTTGGCGAGGCGGAGGGCGTCGGTGGGCGCGATCGGGATGATCGGGCCTGTCGTCTTGGCTGAGATCTTATTGCGGTACTTGGTCTTCTCAGCGATCTGCTCGGGCGTGAGCTTCGTGCTCTTGATCGTGATGCAGCGGCGGAAGATGCGCGCGGCCAACATGGTCGAGGTGGCAGCAAATGAAGCAGTCTCGTTTCACTGGTCGCCATATCTACCAATGGCATCGCGCATTGCCAATGGAATGGATTTCATTGGCAAATAAAGGATTATAAAACGCAGTCAAATCTAGGTCTTTATAGCCAATCCCGTTTGAATTGCTAGAGCAGCCGAACGCCAATTGGTTGAAATGGTGGCATTTCGCCATAGGAGCCAATCGATGGCATAACCGTAGATTTCTAACCGGTTTAAACGAGACTTCAATCCGCTTTGGCAAACTGAAACATCAAACTAGCCGATGATACAACCTGCTGCTTGAGCACTCCACTTCATGAGCTTGGAGGTCTCGTGCTTCTCGCAGCTCCGTCCATTCTGTAGCCGAGGGAGCCAACGCCTCAACATCCAGGTCCAACCGGTTTGCATTCGACACGGTTACAACTTATCGACTCGGCTTTCCATGTAGCCATGCCCGCTTCCTTTGATGCACGGCCTAGCGTTAACACACAGGGCGATCGATATGACTCGGCTTTGCCGGTACGCTACATGCGCATCCGTGTGTTCTACCGTTGCCGCCCCACCGGGTAGTCAACCGAGACCACGAAGCTACCGACTAGGATTATCCAACCGGTTGTCGAACGGTCTGTCCGGATACACTATCCGGGCCGAAGATCGGCGCATCGGGCGGCAGGCATGAGCGACGAGGAAGAGTACGAGTTCGAGTACAGCGACGAAGATGACATGGGCGACGTCCAGGACGAGGAGTCGGTCGAGGTCCGCCTAGAGAACCAGTACTACGTGGCGAAGGGTCTCAAGGAGGACTGCGCGCCGGCGGACGACGGCCTCGCGGTGGACGCGGCCTTCGCCGAGGTGCTGGCGCTCGACGACGACGGCGAAAGCATCTGGGGCTTCCGCGCGCTCAAGCAGCTCATCAAGTGGCAGCTCCGGCGCCACCGGCTCGAGGCGGCCATGGGCCACTACGAAGCGCTGCTCAAGCGCATCTCGACGTCCGCGACCATCACGCGCAACATGGGTGAGAAGGGCGTTAATGGCATCCTCGACTTTGTCTCCAACACGCCGCATGCTAGCAGCACCGCAGCGTCGTCCGGTGCGCTTCGCCGATCGATAGCCCCTGGCGATCCACCTCGTCTTCGACTAGTAGATGACACGAGCTGGTCGATCCTCCAACAGTTCTACGAGAAGACGCTCGAGACGCTCCAGAAGAAGGAAACGCGCAACGAGCGCCTCTGGTAGCTCTCATATGGACGTTGCTTGGTCTCATGCTCGAGACGGCGTAGGTTCAAGACGAACCTCAAGCTCGGGAATGTGCTCTTTGAGCAGATCGAGGCTGCGCCGGACGCGGCCAAGCACCTCCGCCTCTTCCAGATTGTCAAGGAGCTCCTCGCGTCCTGCGACGCCCTCGACACGGACGTGGACGACGAGAACGGGCCGAATCTCAACGTCAAAAAAGACTCGCAGCTCCTCGAGGTGTATGCCCTTCAGATTCAGCTCTACACAGCGCAGAAGGACAACAAGAAGCTCGACGAGCTGTACGAGAAGGCGCTGCGCGTCAAGCCCGGCGTCGCCCACCCGCGCATCATTGGCGTCATCCGCGAGTGCGGCGGGAAGATGCACATGATGCAGGAGGCGTGGGACTTGGCGCGAAGCGACTTTTTCGAGGGCTTCAAGAGCTACGACGAGGCTGGTGAGCCGCGCCGTCTCCAGTGCCTCAAGTATCCACTCCTCGTATTGGATCGTTTGTGGATACTCATGGGATACATTCGGATAGGTATCTTGTGCTGGCCAACATGCTCAGCGACTCGAAGATCAACGTGTTTGACTCGCAAGAGGCCAAGCCATACGAGAACGACAAGGCGATCTCGGCCATGACCGAGCTCACGGACGCCTTCTTGCACAACGACATTCGCGCGTTCGGTATGCTCGTCAATTCCCGTATCGTATCAAGTTGATACTGTTGTAGAATCGATTCTCAAGCGCCATCATGACAACATTATGGGAGACGGCTTCTTGAAGCAGTACATTACGAACCTCCTCAAGACCATCCGCAGCAAGGTAAGGTATCCTCGATCGCACCGCGGCTGATAGCAACTAGGTCTTGCTCAAGCTCGTCAAACCGTACCAGATGGTCCATCTCTCCCACTTGGCCGCGGTTGGATCCCTTGTCCTCTTTGAGAATTTAGAAATGGACGATGCGAGTAGGAGCTCAACGGCATCTCGGAGCGCGACGTTGAAGAGCTCTGCGCGTCGCTCATCTTGGAAGGTCGCCTCGTCGGTCAAATCGACCAGATCCAGGGCCGCCTAGTGCTACCGTACATGACTACACACTAGATTCTGGTGTCGCTCACGACTAAGGTACTAGGCGACGCAAGGCCGAAAGCACCAAAACGTACATGGCGCTCGACGACTGGAGTAGCAAGCTCGACAAGCTCCGAGGACTTCTGAACCAAAAACAAGTCGACTAAGCGCGGACTATCGATATCCCGTACGAGTCGACTAAGTATCCATACCAACACGACCATTTTGTTCTATAAACGCTATCCTTCTTTGTTAGTAGCTTGAGCAAGGTGCCATCGCGAATCAAGGAACCGATATGGGGTTAGGGTAGGGCTAGGGTTCGTGAACCGCGGACCTGCTAGATAGATGGATAGATAGATAGATCATCCAAACGACACAAGGATTAATGGCCTTAGGGCAAGCCCACAAGTCGCTGCATTTTCTCCTGCACAAACGCGTGAAAGGTAATTGGCGGGTACTTGGCCCCATGGGTGATGTGCTCGCAGCTCGGAATGCACTCGATGGTGGCGTCGCCATTGAGCATGATGAAGCAAGCGATGCTCTTGCGGAGTCCGTGGCCGCCGTCGACGCGATGGGGCGTCGCGACCCACGCGTCGTTGGTCCAGCGCTGGAGCACGTCGCCAAGGTTGACAAAGAGCCCGTTCGGCTGCGCGTTCACCGGCACCCAAGCGTCGCTGCTCCGCGTCTGCACCAAGAGCGCATCACGCGTCGCGTCCAAGTTCAAGATCGTGAATGGCACCGAGTCCGTGTGCTCGGCAAAGCGGCGGCGAGACGACGACGGTGGGTAGTAGTTGAGCTTGACCGAGTCGGGCGCCGTCGACGTCCGCGATGCAAAGTACGTTACATCGACGTCTAGCGCCATCGCAAAGTGGCCAAAGAGCGTTTTCGAGAGGGCTTTCATCGCCGCGTAGTACGCCTCCATGGTCGCCTGGAAGCCCTCGACGGGCGGCCACACGTTGGGGCGACCGTGCACGTCGACCGCCGGATCGACGATCGCCGGGTTGGAGAACGCAAACTTCTCGACCGGGTCGTTGGGCTCGCCGCGTCGGCCCATGAAAGCGGCGACGTTCTCGGTGCCAAAGCTCGAGTAGCCGCGGTCGTCGGCGGCGTTGGCTGGCGTGCACTGCTGCTTCTGTGGTAGCGGGAGCGTAAAGAAGGCGTCCATGGCCTCCCAGACGTCGGCGAGAAGACGAGGCGAGATGCCATGCTGCACGAGGTGGAAGCAGCCGGACGTGGTGCAGGCCGCTGCAATGTCCCGCGCGACCACCTCCGCGGGCTGCGAGAGGTCGACGATCGCCAGGCCGTCGGCGTCTGTCATCATGCCAATTCGAACATGAAAATGATCGGTGCTACAACCGATCTGATTGGATGGTGACTTTGAAAGGCTATTCTTTTTGGCCAATCCAAAGCAGCGAAATCTTGCCACCTGCCAGTCAGAACAGGACAACGGGCCAATGCAGCCGGGCAGTGCAGCGCTGGATCCGTGGCGGCCACGCGCCTTTGCCGTCACCCAAGGTGACGCCTCTGTCCTTGTCGATGACAAGCAGCTCGACTTGCCAGTTGACAACGCCGTCGCCGCCAGCCTCGTGGCTCGCTTTGGCAACAGAGTGTCCTCAGCACACATCGACGCGACGTTGGCGCAGGGTCTGAAGAGCGTGCAGCGGTTTGTCAAAGGCGTGCTCGTGCCGGAAGGGCCGTTCACGCTCGCGCTGTCGCAATTAGCGCTGGACACTCTCGGCGGCGACAACACGTTGTCCTTCACGCCTCTCGACAGTAGCCCACCGGGTACGTTTGGCCGACTGCTTTTCGTCTTGCCGTCAGACTACGACGGTGGCAAGGTTTGCGTCGACCACCAAGATGTCGACCTCGCTCCGCACAGGATTCTTGCACTGTATAATGCCACGTCACTGACTACCGCGCCGGTCACCCGCGGCTACCGCGCCATCCTCGTCTACCACCTCATCTACACGAGTCCGACGGCCCACGTCCGCTGCGCACCCGCTTCTGACGCCGATGCCCTCGACGCGTGGCTCTGCGCCGCAGCCAGCGCCAACTCGCCGGCGTGGCTCTACGCCTACGCGCTCCGAGGGCCCATTTCAAATCTCGCCTTTAACGCGCTCTGTCCCGCCGACCTGCGCCTCGTTCGTGACGTGGCAGCGTCCGGGCGCTTTGACGTATGTCTTGCGCACCTACGTGACGGCGTCTACGACGAGTGGAAGATACTCTCCGAGATCGCACCGTACCCATGGTGTGGGCTATCGACGGCCGCCGCCGTTGGTCTCATCGGCCAAGACGTGTGTACCTCAATGTCAACCTGTCTTGTCGTGTGGCGAACGACGTCCCGCTTGCACTTTGCGAGCGTCGATGCCGCCCTTTCCGCTCTGGAAGCTGCAGTGAACGATGCACCGGTGTGGGGGTACGTGTCGCGCAAGGCACTGGCCGCCGCTGTCATCTCAACCTACGCGGTCGTCGCCACTTCGTCGATGGACCGCGCGCGCTTGACGGCCACCCTCTCGCAGCTCGACGATGTCGGCCTCGTTCAGAGCTTCTTGGGACGGTATTGGCACACGCACCTGACGCCGGTCGCCACCGTCGCTCCCTGGATCCACGCGCAGCTGGTTCGGTTTGGCTGGACGTCGCTGGCCGAGAGCCTTAGCGTGTTTGTCTACCATGCGCGTAGCGTTGGGGCACCGGCTTTTGTCGCTAGCCTCGCCGGGCTTGGCGACCTCTGCCCGGCCCTCGACGCTCCAAAATCGCTCGAGCTCCTCAAACAACTCTACCACAAGCTCCTTAGCACATGTGACGTGTGGCGCCACGACGTTGCAACCCAAGTCGATACGGTCGCGTATCTGATCATGCTCGAGATGCACTTGGACCGTGCGCACGAGAGCGGGCACTGGCTGGCGCATCGTCTGCCGCCCCACGCCACGGCGTGCATTGACGCCTACCTCGCGCGCACCGCGACCCTCTCAACTGTACTCACGAAGCTGCCACGCTTCGAGGTTGTTGTCCCAGCTCTCGTGCTGGCACAGGACCGAGCGCCGCAGCTCATGCTCGGCCATGACGTCGCCCGCTACACTGCGCTGCTGGCGAAAATACCGGCATCGATCGCACCCGAGGAGAGCGGCGACCACGAGCTCGTGGCGGCTACGATTGCGCACCTGCGCTGGCACCATCTGAACGTCAAAGCTCTCGAGGCGTGCATGGCCAAGGCGTCGTTCCTCGCGATCCCAGCGTTTCTGTGGTTTGCACGCGAGCACCGTTTGGTACAAGGGGACTCGGAGATCTCACTCCTCGCCGCCGGGATCGCCCACGTCGTCGCGCAGCACAGCTGGTCGGAGCACCGGATTGCGCAAGCGAGACTCTATTACCACTCGCTTAATGTCGAGGCGTCGGTCGCGGTCGATGCGTTTACGTTCTTTGCGCATTTTGCACCAAGCGAGATGCGCGCCTTCGCCCAGACGTGGCTGAGTAGCACGACCTCGTACCGCCCGATCTACCATCTTCTCAAGGACCACAGCGACGTCCTGCGACGCCACACCAGCAGCAGTGTCTATGCGGACGTGGTGCAAGCTGGCATCGACCGCATGCACCAAGGACGCTTGCAGCCGGATGCCATAGGTCGCTCGGCCGCCGAGGCGATGGCGTACTTTCTGCAGTGCCACAACGACGTAGCCGGCGTCAGTGTGAATGGCCGTGCGACGTCTACCTAGCTAGTGACGATATCTTCCACAAGTACTCAACCGTACTAGTATAAGCTTGTTCACGGGCATGGGTCGAGTGGATCGTCGAGAGCGCACTTGCTGAAAGGCCATTGGCTGTTGCGGGAGCCAATGGATTTTGGCGGTTGCAGCATGGGCGAGAAGCGCAAGCGCGGTGACCGGCCGACGGGCAGCTTCGTGGTGACGGATGCGACAGCGCCGCCGTCGACCTACTGCGTGACGCTCGCGTACGACGGCAAGGCCTTCAACGGCTACCAGGCGCAGGAGAAGACGCCGCCCGTGCGCACGGTGCAGGCGACGCTCGAGGACGCGATCAAGCGCACGACGGGCGAGGTCCTTCGCGTGCGCGGTGCATCGCGCACCGACAGAGGCGTCCACGCGCGCGGCCAAGAAGCCGCCTTTGAGAGCACCGTGGTCGACGCCAGCGTCCTCTTGCGCGCCATCAACAACCGCTTGCCCGACGACGTGGCCATCACGCGCCTTGTCAAGGTCGCCGACGGCTTTGACCCGCGCAAGGCCTCCACGCACAAGTGCTACTCGTACCGCATCTTCACGGGCGAGATCCGGCAGGTGCTGGGGCGCGACCAGGCGTGGCAGGTATTACGCCATGACCTCGTGATGCGCCGTTGTCATATGCATGCATATGCACTGTAGGTCTGCAAGCCATTGGACGTGGCCTTGATGCGCGAGGCCGCCAACTTGCTCGAGAGCTCAACGCCGCGGGACTGCAGTGCGTTCACGCCGACGCGGCGCCTCGAAGAGGACATGAGCACGCTCTGCGCCGTCCGCAGCATCGAGCTGGCGTCGCATGAGAAGGAGCATGAGCTGACGATCACGTTTCAAGGCGACCGGTTCCTCTATCGCATGGTGCGCAACATGGTCGGGCTCCTCGTGCACGTGGGTCTCCACAAGAAGACACTCGAGGACGTCCAAGCTATGGTCGACGCCAACGAACGCATCGAGTCGCCCGGCGCGCCGGCGCATGGCCTCACGCTGGAGTGGATTCGCTTCGAGTAGACCCAAGTCGCGTCGTCTACTAGGTATCACTAACTTTTAACGTAGACAAATCCATTTTCTTGCTATATATATGTCGACTCGTGCGTCGCACGCTACACGTTTCCACCTAGTACTCTTCGCCGACGTCCATATCTTCGGCGTCCTGCGTCTCGGCCGACACTTCTTCGTAGTCCTTCTCGAGCGCCGCCAAATCTTCCCGCGCCTCGGAGAACTCGCCTTCTTCCATGCCTTCGCCAACGTACCAGTGGACGAACGCGCGCTTGGCGTACATCAAGTCAAACTTGTGGTTGATGCGCGAGAAGACCTCGGCGATCGCCGACGTGTTGGAGATGAGCGTGCACGCGCGCTGGACGCGGGCGAGGTCGCCGCCCGGCACGACCGACGGCGGCTCGTAGTTGATGCCGCACTTGAAGCCGGTCGGGCACCAATCGACAAACTGGATCGTGCGCTTCGTCTTGATGGTCGCGACTGCGGCGTTGACGTCCTTGGGGACAATGTCGCCGCGGTACATGAGGCACGCCGCCATGTACTTGCCGTGGCGCGGGTCGCACTTGGCCATCATCGACGACGGTTCGAAGCACGAGTTGGTGATCTCCGCCACGGACAGTTGCTCGTGGTACGCCTTCTCGGCCGAAATGACGGGCGCGTACGACGAGAGCATGAAGTGGATGCGCGGGTACGGCACGAGGTTGGTCTGGAACTCGGTGATGTCGACGTTGAGCGAGCCGTCAAAGCGCAGCGACGTCGTGAGCGACGAGATGACTTGGGCGATCAACCGGTTCAAGTTGGTGTACGACGGCCGTTCAATGTTGAGCGACCGCTTGCAAATGTCGTAGATGGCTTCGTTGTCGAGGAGGATGCTAATGTCCGTGTGCTCGAGGAGCGCGTGGGTCGCCAGCACGGCGTTGTACGGCTCGACGACCGCCGTCGAGAGCTGCGGCGACGGGTAGATTGTGAATCCGAGCTTCGACTTGCGGCCATAGTCGACCGAGAGGCGCTCGAGGAGAAGCGCGCCGAGGCCCGACCCGGTGCCGCCGCCGACCGCGTTGAAGATCATGAAGCCCTGAAGGCCAGTGCAGTTGTCGGCGAGCTTGCGGATGCGGTCGAGCACCTTGTCGACGACTTCTTTGCCGATTGTGTAGTGACCACGCGCGTAGTTGTTGGCCGCGTCCTCCTTGCCCGAGATGATCTGCTCCGGGTGGTAGAGTTGGCGGTATGTGCCGGTGCGGATCTCGTCGCAGACCGACGGCTCCAGGTCGACGAAAATCGCACGCGGCACGTGCATGCCGGCGCCGGTCTCGCTGAAGAAGGTGCTGAAGGCGCTGTCGCTCGCCGTCGACTCGTCGGGCATGTGGCCGTTGGGCTGGATGCCGTGCTCGAGGCAGTAGAGCTCCCAGCACGAGTTGCCGACCTGGATGCCGCCTTGGCCAATGTGCAACGACAGAATCTCACGCATATTTTCGAGTTGGGCGAAAGGGGAAATGACGAGCTCTCAAGCTGCCGAATCGGACCCGCGTATTCATTGGCCGGGAGCGAGACAGCGCGCGTGATTGGCTTCACATACCAGTGTCTATCGAACTGCGCTGTGATTGGTGCAAAGCGTATCCATCTGCCGCGTTTGGCTCTCCCTGGTCCTTCTTCGTCCCGAGGAGGGAGCACATGACAGTGGCAGCAGCAGCCGACAGCGCAGAACCGCGCAGCGTGCGCCAGAGCAAGGGCGTAGGTGCTGCGTCATTACCTCGCGCCTCGTCGTTGACCTTGCATGTCTGCCACCAGCTGCGACGGGCTCAACGACTCGGTAACCGCATACATTCTGGTGGATGCGCATGCATTCTACCACGTATGGCCTTCTGGAGAGCCGACGAACGGGTATTAGTGGAGTAGCGACGTGGCCGTCATCGATTGTGTTGCTACGAGGTTGCAGCAAGCCATCCAACCAGAGAAAAAGACAATGTCCAGGCGGCGCTCCATCGAAAAATGGCTCTACCGCACGAGCTCTTGAACGCGACAGCGATATGGGCTATGGAAGCAACTATAGCAAAAAAAGACAAAGAAAGACAATATGTCAGCACAAGGTCTGCGCAAAGCGAAAAGGTTGCTACATTGACATTGTATGGCGACAGGCAACGCAGCGTCTCGGCCCGCATCGAAACCATTGAAATCGTCCAGTAGGTGCGCTTTACCAAATACTATTCTGCAAAAGGTGCTCTTTCGTCCATTAAGGTGCGCAATCTTTTTCAAGAAATAGGTGCATCTTTGCCGTGGCAGCGCGCGCTGTCGCCTTTGAACAGTGGCGCCTCGCTTCCAGGTCGATGGTCTCGCCTAGTACAGGGCAACTCCTCAACAACCAAGCCCGTTCCAACGTGTCGCGGACACTTCGCCCGCTGTGCTGCAGGCAAGCTCGCCGCCATCGTCGAGGGCGTAGTCAAAGAGCTCGAGGACCGGGTCGTGCGCGACAATGTCGGCCGCCTTTAGCTGGAAGAGAATATCGTTGTTGTCGACAGCTCGTCAACCTTGACGTGCAGAACGCCGTCGAGATGCGTGGACGTAAGACGCTGCCAGCCAACTTGCATTATGACCGCAAGTTTACTTTTGGGACGAGACGGTCGCAGTTCCATGTGCCGTTGAAATGACGTGGCGCGCTCGTGGGCCACGAAGGATCCGCGCGCAGCACGTTGATTGGTCCATTCCCCAAGACATTAGCCTTTTTGATGATGCCAACGAAAACGCGGATGGTCCACGGTGCTGTCATTGGTCAACTGTACTCTTGATATATTGCGTCCCTCTGAGAGCGCCTGGTGATAGTGTACACGTTGTCCTCGAACCCACGCGAAAACACCGCAGGATTCTTGGTACAATCACGACAACCACGACAGCCCACCAACGAGAACTCGAGGCAGCTCTACATGTCTGTGCACGCGTGGGCTCAGCAATGATACTACGGCGTCATGCGTGTGTTGGGCCACCAAGGTACAGATGCACAGCTCGCCTTCGCACCAAAAGAGAGACCGAGTTCCTGCTTGTACTGTACTAAGGTAGACAAACACTGGACACATAACACTTTCTTGACATAGAGGCGCAAGACAACACGAGTGCCTTCCCAACCTTCGCTGCCTTCTCGGTACGCGGTCGCGTCAGGCTTGTAGTTCAGGGCTTTGATAAACTCCTGTCGGTCCTACCGAGCGGCGCCCTTCAAGAGCTTAAGCCCTCCGCGCACAAGCAGTGGGTGAGCTATGGCCCTCATGCACTGCGAGATTCCGCTGCGTGTTTTCTAAACGACCATAGAAGCTCGAACAAACACCAAAAAGTTAGAGAAAGACACATTCTATTTGCGTCAAAATAGTCCGGCAAGGCCGTGGATGGCGCGGTCTGTCGATCAACGGACTTGCAGGAATATTTGGAGGGCACCAAATATGTTTCTTCGGGGTGGAGGGTCGGCTCTTCAGTCGTAAATGGTCGTGGGCATCGACAGCGACAAGAGGTATAAAAGTTGTAATTCGGCACCAAGGGCAAAGGCTTGGGCAAGGCGGCGGCAGCTGCATGGAAAAAAGAGAGGTGAGCACGAGCAATGGATGTTTCTGGGTTGCTTGAACGAGGAAGACACTTGGTCGACCTCGCTATCCCAGCCATTGCGTCGTACCCACACTACTCGTCGTCGACCGGCCCAAGGTCGTCGCCGTCGCGGAGGTGGCGGGTAAGGATTCAAGGTTCGCAAAGATCATCGTGGGAGGCGAGTCGGACGGGGCGGGGCGCAAGCGGGGAGAGGCTTGAGCGGAAGGTCGACAATTCAGAAATGAGCGTCCCGGCCAGTCACAGGCGCGACCACCTGGAACTTTCGCTGAAAGTTCAATTGGCTCCCAAGTGCAATTTCAAGGATTTGTAATTCTGCGCTTCAGTATACCATACAAAAAGCAAGCTTATTGAAAGATACGGTTCGAAAAATACGACCAATCATGGCGCGTCGCGACAATCCAGTTGGCGGGAAGCTCTCTCAAAGCGAGCGGAACGCGGCCTTGGAAAGACAGCGAACCACATGGAAGAAGAGAGCGCATACAGTTGCGTTGGTTGTATAGCTGGCCTCCTCGGAACGTAATGAGGAGAGTTGTTTCAAGGGAGTTGATCGGCAAAGTGCCTGGTCACAAGGTCGCAAAATGGACACTGGCGCCGCTGTACCGTACGAAACGACCAACACCGGGGTCGAGTGATGGTCAATCGTCAGCCCACGCGGCAAAGGGCGCGAAAATTCACAGCGCGATGGCGGGAGATGGCACGACCTCGCTTTTGCCGCCAAATCGCCGGCCAGATGAGCCCAGATGGACGAGAGAGTTTGAAAGATGACTACACTCTCAAAAGATGATGCGTGAATGTATCAGCGTCAACCGAACTTGGACACCTGACATACCGTACGGGCGAGACCTTGCTGTGACGGCGAGCGTTTACTGTACACCAGGACACTAATCACCAGAAAATACTAACGTTAGCGCTACATCAGACAGAGAATTCAGTTTACCGATCGAAGCGGTGTCATAGAGATATGGATCGTTTGCTCTCCCATTACGTGGCTCGATGAGAGGCTGCATCTGAGTTGGTGACCGCTTGATGGATTGGCGGACCATCATTCATTCGGTCCGCAAGATCGCGGTAGGATACTCCGTTTCTGGTGTGAGAAGGTGAGAGATGGTCCCTGGAAGCGACTCTTTCCTTGGCCAACATTGGTATACCTCCAGCACGGCATGTTGCTCTTACCACAGCTTCCAGGAGTTCCGTTCCAGACTAGTTTCGACTACTCGTCCATAGCAGTCACAAGAAACTAGGTTATTAGAAAGGTGCGGTATGCGTTGGTGGCGGTGGTGTCGCCCAGAGGGTCGCGACAAAGTCCAAGAAGAGACGCTGGTCGCGCACGGGAACGACCGTCGACTGCCACTGGCCCTTTTGATGCCGCTTTCGCTGGTCCACGGCGCGCTGGTTGATGCAGGAGCGCTCGCGGTGGTACGCGCAGAGCGTGTGGCGCTGCCCGTTCGCCTTGTGCGCGCGGGGCGCAAAACACTTGGTGCCTTTGGCGTAGCTGCAGTGGTCGCTCGTCAGTGGCGCCGCGTCAGCGTGGCAGGAATTCGTGGCCGGTCGAAGGCCCTCGACTTCGTATTCGAGAGCCTGCGGCCAAGCAAAGGACGTGCAGAGGTGCGCCATGGGCAAATAAATGAAAAAGCCGAACTGTTCAGCGATGCTTTCTAGCTAAAGTACGCCTATAGAGCTTTTACACAGGAAAGTGCAAGCTTTTCCGCTTTCGCCGTAAAAGCAGATATCGTTCCAGTCAAGTAATCTACATCCGGTTCCTAGCTTGATACCCAGAAGAGTTTGAACTGAGCATGCACGAACAACACTTCACTCGTGTTATATGACGGATGATGAGCCTAGAGCTTGCGCGTCTTGAGTTTAAAAAACGTTGGACACAAACATCGATACGGGGTTAGGCTTGCTGCGAGACGAAGGTGCTAGACTACACCTGCGATCCCATCAACATGCACCATGTCCCAAGCGGCGCCCATTACGCTGGTTGCATTGCGGCTAGTCAGGGATACGATATATTCTGAGATGCATCACAGCACTGGCTCCGGCCTTCAACTTGGAGACTGCGGTGGTCCTGTCACTTGACGCAGCACAGAGCGTTGAGCTCGTGCGTCGACCGACGGTACAAGTCGTTTCAGATCTGACCTCTAAAGTCTCAGGTCGACTTGATTCGGACAGAGCAGCCGTCAGTCTACACCGTCGTGGCACCTGCACCCGTCGCATTCGTGTCGCGTTGGCATCCACGCGTGCGATTGGTCGGGTCGGATCCCACCGCCGCAACTTCAGATCCGGCGTCGGACTTAGCACCCGCCTTGCTAGGGCGATTTCTGACTGGTGATGAACTCGGTCATTTCCAAACATGCAGTGGCTGTCACTCTTTGCCCTGTGCTTCGTGGCCGTCGCCGCCGCCGAGACCGTTGCGCCCGGGACGCCGGACCCCGCGACATGCAAGCTCCAGTTCCTGAGCCCGTGCAAGAAAGATCTCGACTGCGGTACGCTCAACGGGTATAACCTGACGTGCATCGTGTCGGGTACGAACCGCCAGTGCGGCTGCAAGGGCGGCGTCTCCAAGACCTCCGAGTGCATTCGGACGACGCCGGACGGGTCGGTGCCGCAGTTTGGTCTCTGCACCGACTCGCTCCAGTGCTCGTCGGGCCTTGGCTTCACCGACTACATCCTCGAACTCAACGAAAAGCCGACGCGGCGTTGTGCGGAAGCGCTTCATTGCATCCAAGAAGTGAACGACACGCCAGGCGTCGTCCTCACCAAGCAGTGCCTCACGTGCGGCAGTTGCCGCGCGCAGTACCTCGCCGGCAAGCGTTTCGACTGCGACTCGATTTGCCCGGCGACGCCCGAGCCCCCGACCACCGAACCTCTCCCGACGACCCCGACGCGGGCGCCCAAGACGTCGGAGCCGCCCACGACGCCCCCCAGCTCGTTTGCGTCCGCCGTCGCCGTCAGTGGTGTTGCCCTTGGCGCCATCGCGGTCGCAGCACTCGTGTAAATAACTACACAATATACTTCTGTTTCTTCCTTGTAGATTGTTCTATATCTATATGCATGTGCATTAGCCCGAATCTTGCTACACAAATCAAGCGTAAACCCTTGCACAACATCAACCATACTTCGAATACCGCGAGGCCATTAGATGAAAATTAGCCAATAAACGGTTCTCTGCGTCATATATTATCCAATCAAACGCTCTCAAACGTTGAACATTGTCAACTTGACATGCATATGCGCTGATCATCGTCGAGTCGAGTCTATAGACCATACACCTTCGCGCTCGTCACAAGAGAAGCGACACACCTTGGCCTCTTCTGCTCTCTGCGCCGCTTCAACGAACGAGCCAATCACACGTATCGCTTCCACGACCAAGCCAATCACATGCATAAGTGAAATCCGTGTCTTTGGCGCGCCCGGTGTCTATATGCACCGGTTCAAGAAGCACGCAATGCGCGATGATTTGAGGCGAGGATACCCCATTCTTCTTAATCCACCTGCCCTCGAACATCACCACCATCATGGGTATGCTTTTTTCACGCGTCATGGACCGCCTCTTCAGCAAGCAGGACGTCCGCATCCTCATGGTCGGCCTCGACGCCGCCGGCAAAACCACGATCCTCTACAAGCTCAAGCTCGGGGAAGTCGTGACGACGATCCCGACCATCGGCTTCAACGTCGAGACGCTCGAGTACAAAAACATCAACTTTACGGTCTGGGACGTCGGTGGCCAAGACAAGATCCGCCCGCTGTGGCGCCATTACTACGACAACACGCGCGGCCTCATCTTCGTCGTCGACTCGAACGACCGCGACCGCATTGACCAAGCCCGCGACGAGCTCCACCGCATGCTGGCGCAAGACGAGCTCCGTGACGCGATCACGCTCGTCTTTGCCAACAAGCAGGATTTGCCCAACTCGATGAGCGCGGCCGAGATGACCGAGAAGCTCGGTCTGCGAACGTTTGGCCGGCCGTGGTACATTCAGGCGTGCTGCGCGACGACGGGCGACGGCTTGTACGAAGGCCTCGACTGGCTCTCGGCAACGTTGAAAAAGCAGGCGCCGTAAATCCTTCTCCCTCAAATCATTAACTTGCCGTTCATATTTTTGCTAGCATTTGTAAATGCTTTCTTCGATGTCGACGAGGATGAGGGTCTACTTCGCAAGGACAACGATACATATTTGAGTACGGGATCTGGGTATTCTACTGGCCCATGGACCGGGCTGAACGCAATGGAAGATCACACTTTGATGCACGGGAGATTGCACGAGGCGTCTTGAGGAGGTCATGACGAAGTACCCCAGGGCGTCAGTGGAGTAAATGTCGTATGTAAGTCAGGTATTAGATAGTAGGTAGTCTTGGTCGCAACACATTCACACAGTGTCGTCTAGCTCGTCCGTGCGATCCACTGCAGGCCTTGGACAAGACCCGCCCCGGTCGTGGCGCAGCAGGCTTGGATGTACCAGTTGTGCTGGAGCTCGTATAAACCGAGCTTGGCCGTGACCTCGAGCGTGTTCATGGCTTTTGCGACGTCTTGCTTGTTGGCGAGCACGAGCACGCGGCAGTGGCGGAGCTCTTCTTGCTGCAAAATGCGCACGAGCTCGTCGCGCGCCTCAGGCATGCGGTCGCGGTCACTCGAGTCGACGACGTAGATAAGCACGTTGAAGTCGTTGTTGACGAGGTAGCAGCGCCAGAGCGCGCGGATCTTGTCTTGGCCGCCAAAGTCCCAGACCTGCAAACTCAGGTTGCGGTAATCGACGGTCTGGACGTTGGCGCCGATCGTCGGGACTGTCGTGACCGTCTCGGCGAGCTTGAGTCGGTACAAAATGGTCGTCTTGCCCGCCGCGTCGAGCCCGACCATCATGACGCGCAGCTCCTTCTTCCCAAAGAGGCGCGCGGCGAGGCGGGACACGACGACGCCCATGGGCTTGGTCGACCGATCGGAAAGTGCAATTCCAGCAGCCAATCACGGCGCAGAAGACACTCTCCCCGTGTTTTTTACTATGGCAAATATATCAATACAAATAGCAAGATACATGCAACGAAATATAATGAGGCATACACGGTATGAAAGAAAGGTGCCTCAAAGATCTGCTCTCTCGCTGTCGAGGAGTTGGGCGCCGTTGGCGGCGTGGACCTCGCCGCCCCGCAGATGCAACCGCTGGCGGGATGCCTTTTCAATTTTTCTCGATTTTTTGATCGGGTCGAACCAGCTTTGAGAATTCAGTGCCGCCGAACAGACGACACGTAGGACTCGTTGAAGGCGTCGTCTTGGCTTCGTGGCGCCACCACCATCGGTATCTAGTACGCCTTTGGGGAGAACTTAGTGCCACCAACGTCACTGCCAAGGGCATGTACGGGTGGGCAATAAGAACTGAGCCATCAAGTCCACTCACCAACCAAAAGCGTGCAACAATCCGCAACAACCTTCACAATGCAAAGGCGATTCACAACCATAGATTTGATGTACATGGAAATGGAAGGAATAAATAATGGTACGTCGACTTAAATAACTCGGCAATGCTAGCATCCGCCTTGCGCACACCACGCGAGGCCTTCGTGGACGCCGCTGCCGTTGGTCGCGGAGCCGCCTTGTACCTTCCACATGCGCTGCTTCAAATGCGCGAGATCCAAGGCCGACGAGATCGCGCCATCGTCCAGCGCGCCCGCGCGGTCTTGTTTGTTGGCAAAGATGAGCACGCGGCAGTCACGCGCGGCGTCAGCGCCCAGGATGTCGTGGAGCGCGTGCTTGGCCTCGTCCAGGCGATCCACCGCGGTTGCATCGACGACGAAGATGACAATGTGATACTGGTGCGCGAGAAAGTCGACCCAGACGCGTCGACAGCGTTCGTCGCCGCCAAAGTCCCACATCGTGAGCGTCGCGCACTTGTGCTGGATTATCTCGAGGTTGTAGCTCACGGTTGGGACCGTCGACAGCGTCTCGTCCAGGAACGCGCGGTAGAGGAGTGTGGTTTTGCCAGCGCCGTCGAGGCCGACCAGCATGACGCGCAGCTTGCGCTTCCGGGCGACGAGGGCGCGGAGACGGGACGTGATGGAGCCCATGCGTGTGCTTGAAGGCAATTTGAGTAGTGAGGAATGTTGATGGTCATCGTCGTTCGTCAGGTCGCATCTGGATGAGCAACAAACACGTGGACGGGTTGTAAAATCGAAATATAGCTATACGGTGAAAATGCATATTTCGTAGGCCTATACCAAGGATAAGATCCTAACTAAGCAGCTGCATTCGGACTTTTTGCTGGAAACAAGGATTCATGGGTCGAAATCGGCTTTTTGAATATGCAAAAGAAGCGCTAGCCTCTTGACATGCCCATCAACCGTCCACCAATCAGCGGTGTGCGAAGCAAAGAATTTCGACGGACCTTGCCATTGCCAGCAGTGAAATCACGGTTCAGCCTGGTCGCCAGTAGCCTAGGCACGTAGGCATGACGCCACCCGTGCTCGACTGCAAACAATATTTTGGCTCTGCTGTGTGTCTCTGCAGCGCACTCGGACGCTATGACGTCATGCTCCAGGCTTTGGTGTGATGGCGTGCTGCTTGCCCGCGCTCGTTCGTCAATGGTACGAGATCGTGTGCCTTGTGGTCGGTGGCGAGCAAGTTTTGTTCGTAAGAATTGATTGTTTTCAAACGAATACATGCAAAATTCACTCCACTGTTTGGAGAAGACCTTCATTCGGTGGCGTTGGCTGACATCCTGTGCAATCCCATCGAATTCGGTCCTAGTTTGCGCTCAAATGCCTCGTCGCATTCTTGCGCGTCTCTCGTCGATCTACTAGGCCCACACGTCTCTTGATAGGAGTGAAGAAATGTTTCTCATTTCACTCCCGAACCTCATATATTGGATATTGCACTTGCCGATGTGATGATCTCTCAGATCTGATAGACTGGCGTCGAATAAGGTTTCGATACGCTGGGATCGCATAATGGCATTCTGGGAGAGCACTTCTGAGCTTATGCCCGGTTCACCTCGGCGCAGCAAATGGCCTTGACGTGTGTTGCAATTTAGCCTGCGTCGTCCAAGCATCCTAGACGGCTGCGATTGTCGAGACCGCGATAGGTTACTGAGGAGTGCACACGACAGGATGCAGCTAGTTGTCGGTGAACATCATGTTGACCCATGCTGATCGATATCGAAAGTATCTTGCCGTGCCGGGGCAAGCGCTTGTCCAGCTCCAGTGGTCCAGTGATCGAGCCCATCAAAATCAAGTTGTACCCATTGCACCGCAGCGTTACGCCACCGCCACTGCACCGACCTGCGCCCTCTTCCGCCACGTTATAATGACCTCTGCCAGTACACTCGTCGCGCTTGTAGGACGCAGCGACGTCACTCCATGCGTTCGTTCGCCTACGAGCATCAACTGCGAACGTGGCAGAACGACAAGCTGGATTCGAGCTGTGCCCCCTCCACATTGCGTATCCGGACGCCACTTCAACCTAAACGCACGCTACCTTAGCATGGCACTACGACGCTACCAGCCTTGGTGGGCGGCAACAGCGGTGCCAAGGACTTTCGTTTGCAGTACGCAACCCTTTCAATCTACAGAGCGCGATGCGTGGTGATGCATAGCGGTTGTTCGCACCTTACTTTCGCGCCGTCGAGACTGGGATACGACTTAAGTGGGGTGTGTTTAGACAATTGGACACTGGGCGCTGGTTCCTCCCGAACGCAACAACAGTATTCAACAATCCGCCATGGCCTCGACTCCACGCAGCCCGACCGAGCCGACGACGGCCGCGCCGATCGACACGGTGCCACTCGTGTCCCAGGCCAAGTCGCTCCTCCAGGCCATCACCGGCGACCTCAAGGGCGCGTCGCAGACTCAAGACAACTTCTCGCGCGGGTGCCCCGTCGTCTCGCAGGTCCGCGCGGTCGTCGAAGACACGATTATCCAGGACCCGGCGGCCGCCGCTCGCACGCGGAGCCACTTTAGCTCCTTCTCAATGGACCACTGCCTCTTCCTCTCGCAGGCCAAGTCGCTCGTGCAGGTGCTAAAGGGCGATGCGAAGGGCGCGCTGCAGACGCAAGAGAACTTTTCCCGCGGTTGCGCCGTCGTCTCGCAAGCGCGGTCGCTCGTCGAGTCGACGCTCCTGCGCGATCCCGCCGCGGCGCTCAAGACGCAAGAATACTTCCTCGGCAAGCAGAGCGAGGCCGCGCCGGCGCCGGCCACCACCGACGACGACGACACGTGGACGACAACGCGGGACCCGAATCTGGAGTGCGTCGTGTGTCTCTCTGCGACCAAGAACGTGCTGCTCCTGCCGTGCAAGCACCTCTGCCTCTGCACGAGCTGCTCGGCGCACATCACGTCCGAGTGTCCACTCTGCAAGACCAAGATTGAGGCCAAGACGACCGTCTTCATCTAGTTGAGAGGCGTCCTATAGTATATGTAGATGAACGTGTATTCTCTTTGCTGGTAAGAGCCTTGCATACGTAGAGAGCTCTGTCTTCATTGCGGCTCGTCCGTAATCGCTTGCGGCTGCGGGTGAGGCCAATGACAACAAGCTCCGTCAAGGTGTCCTATGGTGCGTCCCATGTACTCCGTCTCGACGGGTTGTCCGCCATGAAGGCGTGCTGGGGTCGAGGTTCACGCAAAGTTGATAGACCTGATTGCAGGGTGCCATTCTGATGGCTCAAGCCTTCAGCAGCTAGCACCCGAGCAGCATGGGAGTACCCTGTGGCGAGGTACTTAGCGACCGCACGAAGGCAGCTTGCGGGCTACGAGCTCGTCTTGTTCAGAGCACTCGAGGCGTCGTGGCATGCACGTGTTCTGGGAGGTCGAGAGAGCTTGGACTATGGGCTGGCAGTTGACGTCAACGTCTCAGATTATAGCTGCTGGATATCGTTGCTACAGGCGAGCTGTTGACGAGCAGAAGGGTCGCTCAGGTCTCTGCCTGCTGTCATGCATTCTGGCCGTGGCGATTGCCGTATCGTCTTGGTCCTGCAGTGTGCCATCATCATCATCATGCCACCGACGAGCGAGGTCGCGCACACCGAGTTTGATTATTCATGTTGATAGGAGGTACGTCGCATGACACGCGCTTACATCTCTTCCATCTCGCCTTCCGGTTCGTCGATCTGGCCGAATTCCCACCGCAAGTCGGGCAGGTGGTTGCCGCGCTTGGAGGCCTTGCGCATGCCGTCCGGGTTGGCCACGTAGAGCACGCCCAAGAAGATGGGCACCATCGAAAGCATGCCGAGGAGCGCGCGCAGGGCCTGGCCGCTCGTAATGTGCGGCGAGTCAAAGTCGAGGAGCAGCTCGGGCGCGACCGAGTCGGTCCAGACCAAGTCGCGGTGGAGCTCGAGCGGCTTGTTGCCGTGGGGCACGGGCAGGCGCGCGAACGGCGGCGGCGGCGGCGCGTGGTGGTGGCCACCGCGGACGGCCGCGCGGATCGCGAGCGGGCGGCTACGGGCGACGGCAGACAGGGCCTTGGAGCTCATCCTTCCTTCGTGGCAGCAAAAGTTACTGGCCCGGAATTGTGGCCCGAGGGACGCGAAGTTCGAAGCACCGGTGCTGCAATCGAATACAATGACCTTATAGAGCTATTTGATACAAATAGCAAGTATAATAGGCATCGATCGCAAAAGAATACACTTGCCAATCGAAGCAAATAATCGAAGTTGAAAGTCAGTGGCATCAGCCAATCGGATGCCGATTTAAAACCCACCGTGTGCCATGTGTGAAACGAAATACGTCGCGTGGGAAAT